TTATCCCACAACGTATGAAGCATGCAAAAGTTAGTGTTGTTAAAGGCAGGGGACAAAATGATTTGAAAATTTATAGGCCCATATTCATTCTTCAACTTTTTTCAAAGCCCATAGAAAACGTAATGTCTATAAGAACGTCGAACTTTGCAAAACACTTGGTAATTACTCCAGCTAAGTATGGTTACAGGTCAGGGCTGTCGACAGAGGTAGCATTGTTACGACAAAATCAAATTAGGCAATGTAGAGGACAGAAAACTTACCTTAGGCATATTTGTTGACTTCTCCAAAGTCTTTGACTAGATAAACCCCAATGATTTCTTAAAAACGCTGCTATATTGCGGCATTAGAGGAAATGTAGTCAATTTAATCACCAGTTATTTGAGCGATAGACAACAGTGTGTAAATATAAACTTAGAACAATCTTCAGATGAAAAACTTCCGGCCAATAAAATAACGCACACAGGAAACGAAGAAGGAGACAGGAAAGAGGCCAGACTACCAACTGTTTATTCACATATGCGTGGCTCAAGTATATATACTCATACGGTCACATGGTGAAGCTAAGTGCTCTTTAAAAAATAACCAAAAATTGCCCAAAGTAATAAACTGACTCATAATCATTCAAAGCTTTCTTCGCTCTACTAATCGCTACAGATTACAAACAAGATTCTAGGAACGTGTTTTCCTTCCTGCGCAGTGTCACGGAGCTATCGCTGCAGCATGCTTCACCACTCTTTGCAATATGAAAAGCTTCCAAAATTTCCCGTGCCAATTTTTCATTGTAAACAGTGCAATTGTAAGCCACTGCTGAACGAAATCAAGATTTTAGGCAAAAGCCATGAAAAATTGGCACGGGAAATTTTGGAAGCTTTTCATATTGCAAAGAGTGGTGAAGCATGCTGCAGCGATAGCTCCGTGACACTGCGCAGGAAGGAAAACACGTTCCTAGAATCTTGTTTGTAATCTGTAGCGATTAGTAGAGCGAAGAAAGCTTTGAATGATTATGAGTCAGTTTATTACTTTGGGCAATTTTTGGTTATTTTTTAAAGAGCACTTAGCTTCACCATGTGACCGTATGAGTATATATACTTGAGCCACGCATATGTGAATAAACAGTTGGTAGTCTGGCCTCTTTCCTGTCTCCTTCTTCGTTTCCTGTGTGCGTTATTTTATTGGCCGGAAGTTTTTCATCTGAAGCAATGCACCAACTAGCCCAACAACGAGTATTATTAGAACAATCCTTTTTGCAAAACTTGCTGAAGGTGTATCCCAAGGTTGGATTCGTTACTTTTTATCACTTGCATAAATGACAATATCAATATAAATAATACCATCAAATATGTCATATATGCGCATGACACTTCCTTCTTTTTCACAGGCATTTATGTAAAGGATCCATTTTCAACAGCAAACACAACACTAGATGACTTGTTTGCATGGGTGACTGCTAACTCCAGGCAAATCGACTGTTCAAAAACCAAAGCAGTTCTGTTTTGTTCGAAAAGAAACAACGTACGAGTCTACTTCAAAACTTCATCTGCATCATTGTGTGATTGATTTTTTGGATGGTTAAAGCATTTGGCATTGTTTTTCGTGAGTATATGTTGGGGAACTCACAGCGAAATGTTAAGAAAGACGTTAAGTAAGACACTCGGCATGCTTAGATGATGTCAGTCACCTTTACCAACTACTCAGATGTTAGTGATCTATACCGCGCTTTTTTCTTCCCAGTTACGTTATGGTCTTTTGGTGTGGAGACCACACCTTACTCTCTTAGCAGAAATTACTCACACTTCAAACAAAAAAGTTTTACATTCTATTACGAATGCTGAGTATGATGCACATAGCTCGTCTTTACGGAATAACTTATTATAACTTTTACCTTTACTGAATAACGTATTATCGTGTAGAAGAAAGGTGTCTTCGCTGGTAGCGTGGAGCAAAAACAATTGTTTACTTACTCGAAGAGATAAAAAAAAACGCGTCCATGACCAGCAAATGTTCGTTCGGCACACATCCAAGCACGAGCTCTCCACTCGTGCCCACACTTCGTTCTCTTTTTTCTTGTCTTCAATATTTGACAATATTTAACATAGCGTTTCAAAAACATGAATAAAGAAATGAAGTAACAACCCTATCTCCATAGCGTGCCTACAGCGCAGCACCTCGTCTCGACCTACTTGGCAGAGCGATTATTAGAAGGTTCCTCGATGCCGAACAAACTACGGTCTTTAAATGCTGAATCATACACTCCCACACATACTAATTAAATTCTGTTTTTCACTGCAAGATTGCGCCTTCTTTCGTGACAGGAAATATCCAGTCTATTTTAGGGACGTGAGGCAAAATAAAAAAAAATAAAAAAAGGAATAGTTTTGTATTTTGCTTATCCTACATTTGTATTTCTTTAAAGAGTGCAAGCTTGTCTACATGTATGACATATTTATTGTTGTGCCACTTTCAACTATGTATTTGTGTTTGTTTAGTCTTTAGTTAACCTCATGAATTCTGTCATTTTTTCTGCCTTGTTTTGTTGAGATGTTGGGCTAGTGAAGCTGCGTTTGTATTGCAGCCTTTTTCCCGAATGCCAAACCACACATTGTACCTCTGTTGTGACTTCAAAAAAAAAAGTCAATGTGTAACTCTATGTTGAAATAAACTTCAACTTCAGCATGTCTCTGCAGCCATTACAATACGGCATGCCACGTAACCTCAACAACGCCACCACTGTACCCAGTGGATATGGTCGCGAAGACGTCATTTCCTGCACACTTGTCGCAGCGCGGGCTGTGGAGGGCCTCTCCTTTCATTCCTTCCTCCGTAGGCGAGTCCATAAGGCACCTTGTGGCTATTCGCATATTGGTTCTCAAAAGGAGAACAAAAACGATAGTCTCCTCCTGTGCTACGCTTCAAGTTTTTCTTCTGTGTTTGCAGGAGACTCCGTTCCCGTGACTGCGGAAGTGGATGTGGAGTCGCCTGCGCCTCCGCGCAAACACACGTCGACTGCGGCCACTATGAGATATAGCGTTCGGGCCGTATACGAACGATGCCGACAGTGAGCGTACGCTACTATACTCTTATACAGTGAGTGACGAAAGCTGAGACGACACTGACCTTGTCCCGCCCCGCCGCACTGGTCTATTGACTATAAGGTAAAGGGCTGCTGACCCGCAGGTCAAGGGATCGCATCCCGGCTGCGGCGGCTGCATTTTCGGTGGAGGCGCAAATTCTGTAGGCCCGTGTGCTCAGATTTGAGTGCATGTTAAAGAAGCCAGGTCTTCAAAATTTCCGGAGTCCTCCACTACGGCGTCTCTCATAATCATATGGTGGTTTTGGGACGCTATACCCCGCATATCTATCAATCAAATCAAACTGACCTTGTATCCATGACAAGGTGTACAGCAAAAAGAACGCTACTCGTTCCCGATCCTTCAACAAGTAAGGCTACCAGAAAGACGAGAGAACCACTGATTTGCACAATTTAAGGTTGTTCCGGTGGCTGCTGCTGATATATGTGAACTCCCGACGACGTCTCTTTTTCCCAAGACCTTAACGCCGGAACAAAGCACAGATATCAGAATTAATGGTCGCAAGAATGCTTTCACGAGTGCACTGGATGTATTGAACAACGTCAGAGTGTTGGGGGGCATCACTGTGCTATCCTGAGCAAGATAAACTTGAACATCGAATTCAAGTTTATTCAACAGTTACTTGGTCTGTACTGACCTGCTTGGGACGTATTGAATTACAAGGGGTAGGTTTCGGTTGATCGTTCAGTGTCAGTAATGAACACTTGCCCTGAACCACTGCGTTTAGCCGTTACAAACATTAATAGGCCATTTCAGAGTTCTAGCTCGTATCGCACACAACTATTGACATAGACGGCATGAACTCTACGCCTCAAGTCTTATACACGATGTCGACACTTACAAAAGCGAAACTGACACCCCAACTGGTATGAAGCTGACGGCCGGAGGACCTATATCTTTTTTGGTGATTCGAGTGTTGTTAAACTATAGTGTTCAAGGAGACAGCCTTCCATCGCAAAGGGAAAGTCCGCCATTTTCGACACGCGTTGCGGCCATTTGTGCCAAGAACAAAAACATTTTTGGATGGGACATGTTGGCGTTGTTCGTGCAAATTCTGCCGTATGGAGGCGATGCCCAGTCACATGCTGTACACGTTTGCAATGTAGAACATTGGAAGTTCGTCACGGCCCTCACGATCGCGTCTTCAAAGGATCGCTAAACATTAAGGAGATGCAAGTGTTGAGGCAAATGCAAGTCTTTACGAAGTAAATTATGACTTATTCAATATATTCATGACATATTTGTCCACAACCAAAATAGGATAATTTCACTTTTGTGAACGTCATGTTAATTTGATGCTGCAAGGCAGAACGTAAAACATTATGTCTTTAAAAACTCCTGATTTTTTTTTCGCAGTACCATGAAATTCTCATGTCTTTCATAACAATGAACCTCTAACACTGGCGCAGCCGGGAGTTGTTTTTGTAATGCAATTTTCAATCGAAATTCAAAGTTTTGAAAATTTTCTACTTTCAATTTTGCACGTGTATTTTTTTGCATGTGTGTACACGCACACACACACGAGCACACATAAATGGTGGTAGAACTCCCCCCCCCCACCTCCTCGAAAAACACTTTGACTAATCTTCTGGATTTTTAAACAATCTGATGTTAAAATCAGATAACTTTTACAGACCAACATAAAATGGTTATGTGAAAAGTTAGAGTAATAATGACCATTTTATTTAGTGCAGGAAGAGCCATGGCAGGCAAACACTATTTTGGAATAAAACCACTAAACTTAGTGTTGTCGCTTTCTCCTTATTTTACTTTTAGGGTACTGTCGTTTTCTTTTTGTTTTTATATCTCTAGTATTTTGTTGATAAGTGCCATTCTTTCCATACCCTACTATCGTGTCTCCCTTGCCGCAGTGAGCACACGATGTACAGGCAAACAGTAAAAGAAGCTTCCTGAAGCACGCGTTTATTTCACTTCATCTCATTGCAGAGTATCTCTTGTCTTGGTGACTTCCGTTTGTCCGCCCCGTTTCCGCTCAAGACAGCCAGTGAAGGAATGAACGTCGCCTAAATCCGCAGGCTTTCGGTTTCCCGGAGCTCCCATTTGAATGAAACCAAAAAAGTAAGCCAGAGAGGCACGAATGAAGACAACGCGCGAGGAGCTCTGGAACAGTTTCCTCGCACTGACTTCGTACACTCCATTTGCTGCTACTGCGACAGTAGCAGAAGCTGGAGAGGAACGCCTTCCTGTAAAAAAAAAAAGCACAAATCAATTGCAAGAGATGTGCTCCAGCAAGCCTCGCGAGTGTCAGTAAAGGATGCTGCACTCTACGGCGGAGAGATGGAAAGAACAGCAGACGGCCGGCTTGCAGGCTTATGCTGCATCGTCTGCAATCGCTGCACACGAAAAGTGTGTTCGATTTTCGCTGACGGGCTCCATCGCCGCGAAGGCCGCTGAGCCCCAACTCTAAACAAGCTACATAGCGATAAGGGGAGCTTAGGAAAATGCGCAGCGCCAGGCATACGAAGCGTCGATATAACCCTGTCTACTTTCGTTGCTTCGTGTATTTCGACACGGCATGCACCGATAGCTAAAATTTCTTTCTTTTTTTTTTTTTTGCCGTACCACGCTCAAACGCCGCAAAGTGGAAGAGCGATTGCGCCATTTGCGTGTGGTTGGCACGAACCATGGCACGAACCATTCCTTTCAGGCACAAACTTACGTCGTTAGATTACACCTACCAAAAACACCGTCCCCTGCCCACTTGAAGGGCGTTTGCGCCATCTGTGAAGTGGGAAGAAAAGCGGCTTTGAAACACGACGCAACCGTGAGCCCCTAGATGGCGGCTCTCATACCCATTTATTTGCACGTTTTTGGTTAGTGTGTGCACGGCGTGTCATATTTTGAAAGCTCATTGTGATTTAGAGGGTGGTGAAATTGTTACTTACCGTTTGAACCTATTTTTTAAAGAAAAATTTGTATGAGAGAGTTGCAGTACTCACGTGAATTATATGCAACATTTATTCAGCATAGCCGGACGTACCAAAGCAGCCGTCTTGAAAGTTTTTTTTGTTTTTTTTTTTGTTCGAGTAAACACGAATTACAATTTTAAAGTTCGTTGTACCACGTGGAAGCAGAATATGCAGTGCATTGCATTGTAGGCTATATTCTGCTCGAGCAGGTAGAGTTTGTGTAGAGCTTCCACATTTTTCAATATCTATAGCTCGTTGTAATCTTCCACCGAGCCATATTGCATGATTTCGCCGTGCACGTGCAAGTTGAATATACCATGACTTGCCCCACCTCTTCTTCAAGGACAAAGGCAACAACAACACAAAAACAAATTGCTATGGTACTTGTTTAAACTACACACGCCTTCACTATTGCGTAACAGCAAAGCTGACAATAGGTGGATGAGAAAAGTTCATTAGCAGCCCCTGGTGTTCAGCCATCTTTTGAGTGCATCCCTACTATGCCAGTGTGGTAACATTCAACTTGCCCGGCTGACTGCCCCAAGAAACAGATGATAGCTTGTTCTTTCGATAAGTAGATCTGTCTCCAAGGCACTGAAGGAATACGTCGAACTATAGTATAAGAAGTTGCTGCGTCCTGTGCCAAGTTAATGAAAGCCACAGCCAAGCCGCATTGCGGCTGCGTTCAATTCCACGCTCCTTATTTGCCTGAGCTGGCAAATGTAGCATATTTGCGTAGTCTAAAGGGAGGGGGCGTTAACACATCCTCCGAAATTTTTCAATTTCGCTTGCGTATATAAATAGGCAGACATACTGACCCACGCATGAACACACATAAAGTATGGTTGAACCCATCCCCCCATGGCAAATTTTCTGGCTACACCTCTGCTGGGGCACATCCAGGATCACTCTAGGGTAGTGGTTCTCAGTCACAGACATTTTGGGGAACCAGTGGAAGCAATGAGGGATTTCCTGCAGAGAGAAAAAGAAAAGAAAATGGGACGAGGGGGGGTGCATTTACACAACATGCAGCGTAAAACACGCGCCTATTGTTTCTCTTTTGGAATTATCTATTGTGGACGTTTTAAAGCAGGGTCATCGTAAAAAAAAAGTTCTCCCAACAGGCACACGCTTGCGATACTTTCCACTCGTTCCTCGCATTGGCTTTTTACGTAACATGTACTTCAGCCGTACAGCACTGAAACAGCATGGGTGACGGTTGATGTACGCCTTCCATCTGTCTCCCTGGTAAAATTCTTCAAATTGGCTAAATGTGATTTCTTATTGTTACTTTTAAGAATACTCGTTTTCCCTGTACCATGAGCGATTAAAATTGTATTACCCCTAACATAATTGAAGGTGCCCGCAGGAATGAATTTGCCATCCCTGTTCGCAGTGATGCTTAAGCCATTGTTGTCCCCGCCATGGTGGTCCTGTGGTTATGGTGCGCGACTGCTAACCTGAAAGTTACGGGTTCGATTCCGGTGACGTCGTCAGCTTATCGATGGAGGCAAAATACCTGGTGCCTGCGAACTTGGATTTCGGTGCACTTCAAACAATCTTAAGTGATCAAAATTTCAAGAGCACTCCAAGACCTTCATGCTCTATGTTGCTTATGTGAAACTATAACAGCTACCGTAAGTCATTGTTTTTTATCATTTATTCATGCGGATCTCGATCATTCGTATTTTTGTCTGGGCGCTGTAAGTTTATGCAATAGGAACTAGTGTAATCATTCCCATACTCTTTTCTTTTTAATTTCAATGGCCATACTTTTTATCTATGAATGTTCAACTAACAACCCTAAAGTAATGCTTACTGGCCCATAGTAGATATCTATACATCAAATAGGTTGCAATCTCCTAGCGCATGCGTGATTGCTCAGCGTAATCTCTACCTCAAATCAATTTGACACGGAGCCATGTGCAATGCCACTAAAAACAACAACAGAAAGCCTCAAGTTGTCAACGTTTCAGGTAGTGATATGGTAAAGTGATATATAAAAATCACTGCCCGACAGGAAGCTGAAGTTAAGTGTAAAGGGTCACGGGTCAGCATACAGCAACTTGATGTCGCGGTTCACCGCGTTGCAAAGAACGCCAACAACAAAGATGGCCCTACAGAAACGAGCAAGATAGAACGTCCAGTAACGGTTTGTTCCGGCTACCTGAAACACCACATTATTCTAACTCAGACTCTTGAATCGAATAGCGGAGTTTGTGAAAACTGACATAGAAACCTAAGCATGTATTTTAGCTTAAGACCACATTTAATTACAAGCTTAAGCTTAATCAAAGTTTACAGTAGAGCAAGCTTTCAGCTATTATAGAAGCTTCTGGTACATTACAAGCATAAGGCAAAAACGTAGAATATTCGCACGATATAAGATATTCCATTGTACAAAGTGTCGTGGTGCTATCAATAAAATATTCCACTGTCACGTTTAGCCTTGTCAGACAAAAGAAGCTTGGTACCATTCTGTGTGATATTTCGTGCTTATCTCACCGTGTCTCACTGTAATGAAAAAAAAACACAATATACACTTTTTTGTCTTGTAAAGCCTAAACGTAAGAGGCAGCCAATGAGGCATTTTTTTACGGTAACGCGAAGGAATGGTTTGAGCTTAAATAGAGCTCAAGAAAGGACTACCTGAGTACCACACACCAAACGCAAAGAATAAGCCTTTAATTTGTATATTTGAGGTGATTAGCAGTTTGTACTTAACCCGATCATGCAGCGCTGCGCCTTTGTTTAAGGTTGGTCACATGAAATCGCGGTCTGAAGAAACACATCGGTGGTGATTATTTTCATTATCAATACATCGAATGTGTTCGTGTTTGGGGGGAATTACAAAAAAAATGTCGACCAATAGCTGTCACATCCTACAATTTTTCGAATAAACAGGTACCCCCCGCTCAATTATTAAAAAAAAGTTAACTATTGAGTATTTACTACAGCTGCAGGTACGTCGATGTTTTCGCACTTCGGTCAACAGATTTCGTGTGCGAACACGATAAGGTCTTGGCTTTCATGTAATTTTTCTTCAAAAATTTCTGCTGTGTAAGAATACAAACACCACCCCGCTGGTATAGCGGACATCTTAACGCAGATTTATAGCGTGTTCGGTTTTTTTATCTGATAACTATGTGCTACTACTTTTCATTACAGCAGGCTAATTATTATATCGGCAGCAAATAAAAAAACGTACCTGAATAACCGTAGCACCAGTCTTGTCAGCCATGCTTTTATCAACTTTCAAAAACCCATAAAGTACAAATGGTCAACTCAGTTGTTATAATTGATTGGTACGCCAAGAAATACATCATCTTTTTGACGCACCTATTCACTCAAAGCCTGACAATCATGTCAACGACATTCAATTGAATTCAATTCAGTGTTATTTCAACAATAAAGGAGACATTTCAAAAGCCACAACAGTAATGCTGTGGGAAGAGGCAAAAAGCCATTAAGGTTAGACAGACGCTTTCCCACCATTAGACAACATAGCAACCGCAACAGTCATTACACAATATGAAAACAAACATTTCGTAAGAAAGGAACAGTAGGAATGATTTATTGTGGGTAACTGTTTAATGTGAGTGGTAGTAAGTAGCACATAATTTGTCGACCATAGTTAGTACGTGCGTAAGGGATCTTCCACTTTCCGATGGCTCATGCGCAACAGGGGCAGGTGAAGGTTGTCAAACACGCTAAATAAGTAAGAAAAGAATAGTGCTTCTTTCCGGAAGTACGATGACGCTTCAACAAAACTGAATTTTACACGTCGGACATTCGTTGTTAATTGAAACTTTCGAAAATCGGTCTGGTATGCTCATCGCGTAGAACACCTGCAATTATGCACAAAACTCCTTTCTGTAATCTATATCATCGGCCTAACTTAATTTTCGTTGTGGTGCCCTATACTTAAAAGAAGTAACGTAATGTAGATACAAATAGGGAACTATATAGTAAGAGTTTAATTTTTTGCGGTAAAAGGAAACGTAAATGTGAAAGAACACCTATATACTACGAGAAAGTTTAGTGTGGGTAAGCTCAGATTGTTCGTTCCATAGCATGTTTTCATAGAAAATTTTTCCTTCTGTTTTCACCAGAGGCTAAATAATAATGGATTTAGAGCGAATCTTTGAGGCCCAATTGCAGTTTACGGCCTTGTTTATCGGGCGAAAAAACATAGATTTTGTTTATGATGTGTTCAGAATTGCGAATTTGTTATGCTCCAAATGTTCAACATTTCCAAGAATCCATTTCCTTGTTCTCAAGTTTAATCAATTCATGGCCCTTAAGAGATAAACTGGTATCATGTGCATAAATAATAAAGGTTGTATAAATATCTATGTTCACCAGGTCGTTGACATAAATACTAATAAAAAGCAGGGGACTCATTGATTGATTGATATGTGGGGTTTAACGTCCCCAAACCACCATATGATTATGAGAGACGCCGTAGTGGAGGGCTCCGGAAATTTAGACCACCTGGGGTTCTTTAATGTGCACCCAAATCTGAGCACACGGGCCTACAACATTTCCGCCTCCATCGGAAATGCAGCCGCCGCAGCCGGGATTCGAACCCGCGCCCTGCGGGAAAGCAGGGGACTCAGTATACTGCCTTGGGGCACGCCATGAAATAGATTTTTAAAACTCGATGTGTGGGCAATAAGTTCTCAGTTTTGCTATCGGTAATTCAAATGCGTTTTTATCACAAAAAAAGTTCCCCCGAAAGCCATAGAGTTCTATTTTTTTAATTAATGCGGTGTGGTTAATCCTCTATAGTGCATTGGAAAGATCCACAAAAATTTCAAGTGTATATACTTCTTTTTCAAATGCATCGAGTATTATTTCTTTTTGCAATATTAGATCAGTTTCTGTGGAGCACAGCTTTGTGAAGGCGTAATATTATGACGTTCTGTTAAGAATGACTCCTTTATCTGAAAGCTTTGCAATTACTTTTGAAAATACAGGTATAATAGAACGGGACTGTAATTCGACATGCTATTTTTGTCCCCACCTTTGAAAATAACCAATACTTTAGCCATCTGAAGACGACGATAGTCAGCTTCCTCGACAACATTTAGTTCGATTTGAGTTTGTAGTGTTTAGGGCCCAAAAGAGACTCGGGCTCTGAGAAATGCCGTAGTAAAGGGCTCTGAATCATTTCGACCGTCTGGTGTTCTTTGAAGTGCGCTGACATCGTACAGTGCACTGGCCGCTTGCATTTCGCCTCCACCCCGCGACAGGCATCGAACCCCCGTTTTTCGGGTGAGCAGCCAAGCCACCGTTACTACTGGGCCACCGCAGCACCAGTTTAGTTAGGGGTCCATTCCGAATATCAGTCGCTTAACGTAACATTCAATTGTATAGTTTGAAGACGGTTTTCTCGGCATCTCAACCCACATGATAAACGTACTCATAGCGGAGGTCTTCAAGTTTTTCGTTCCGCCATTTCGCCTGGCCTGAAAACTGATCTCCGCTAGTAACAACATTATGAGGGCTAGTTGGTCAATAATTCAGAGCAGAGAAAGCAGCAGCGCGGAAGGAACGAAGACCGCAATTCAAGCGCTTGTCCTGTGATGATGATGGTGATGATGATGATCATGCCTAAAACATGGCTCATACCAACTCAAGGGGATCGAGAAGAACTGATTATATGATTTAGTGGGACCTTTCCAACATTAGGTATCGATAACCACTAAGAAAACAACGTAAGTAAAACGTAAAACGGGAAATATTAGTTCTTCGTTTCTTCGTCGTCCTTGTTCCTTGGGCGCTGTGCTTTCTTTGCTCTAAGTGGCGCCTAGCGCTTGCAACGCAATGATGATGATGACTATGATGATGATGGTGATGGTCTATATGTATGGCTCACACCCACTCGGGGGATTGTCCAAAAAACGAATAATTAGGTAGAATAGATCACATAATAATTGTTTATCTAATGAATTATAAAATGGTTAGGTGAAAAATAACGCGGCTGGCGTGCACAGTCTTGTTGTTCGAAAACATGACACCCCAAGTGTTTCTGTGAAGCCCACCCACTTACCAGGCGAACAAAGAGGGCGAAACACGCAGGCCAGTTTTATTTTCAACTTTTTTAAAAATTTATGAAACCAAACAGGAGGTACATTGGGTGGTAAAGTGCTAAGGACTGTTCGGAGCCTAATATCTGAACCTTACCCACTAACACCACACACATGGCACAATGTCATTAATGTGGCACAATTTGTTCAATTGCGCATAAGGCGATTACCAGCTTCCCCACAGAAAGGACAGAGACACTGCACAGATAATGAGGGTCCCATACTGTTAACTCTAACTCCACTGTTAAGATATATTTTTTGGTATTTTAGCTTCGAATATTCAAGTGCAGTGTCCCTCACTCATAATTCGATACTGCACAGAACAGCGTCGGCTTTTTTTCTTCAACTAGAACAAAAATATCTAAAGAATGACCGTAATTGATAATGCGCTTCTTTCATCACATATACATATATAGCTGGATTATTGCATATCTATCAAGACGAACTTAACTTGCTGTCAAAACTATAATTATTGAAATGATGGAACTCTGCCAATTGTTAATACTTTCTCCCATTATACTTTGCTATGGCTTATGATTTCATTCAACAAAATTATTCTTATGTTAAGCTTCGATAAGTGAACGAAGTCTCGATGTGATCTCAAATAAGTAAGCCTTAAATATAAGGCCCCATGTGTACGTGAACTCCTGTTCAGTTGCGATTCCTTGTTGTGGTTGCGTCTTGGATAGCACTGGAGGCTATTGTGAGCTTTGCACCCAGATTTCGGTTCACTGAGTACGGCTGACTGTAATTATCATGCACACGGAATACGTCCCACTTCCGTCGAGGCCCACGGTTAACGATCCTTTCTGGGCTCGACACCACGTTTTGTGATTCTGACTCATATATAGTTGTTTTCGCCCTTCGTTATTGACTCGCACAGCAACCAACCCACAATGTCATGGTGGTCGGGAGCATAATGGTAATAATGGTCAGCCGGTATTGATTGAAATCGGGGAAAAGATAGGTTACAAAATGCGCCACTCGTCTGCCCGCGTAAGCTTCTGTTACATTGACGCTCAGTCGCTGAAGGAATAATGTACAGAAAAATGGACGAATGAATATTCTGTTCAGATATCTTCTTCAAAGACAGGATTATTGAAGGAAAATAACTAAGCATTGTTATATGAGTGTCTTGTGATCTCGATTTATTGTATATGATGTATATGAAGTAGGCTCTTAGTGCGACCTGGCATCGGTCACCTGTCAAGTACAGGCCGATTTCAGATTATATATATATGTATATATATATATATATATATATATATATATATATATATATATATATATATATATATATAATATATATATATAATATATATATATATATATATTATATATATATATATATATATATATATATATATATATATATATATATATATATGTTTTGTTATCTATATAAATTCATATAAACTAAACTCTTTAATTACCAGTAAGTTGGAGGTCCGTGAGATGAAAAGTGGTTATAAAACCACTTCAGAGTGCCTGAAAGCCCCTTTACAAGGCAGCAGTTTTGAAATCCAAGCACTTAACAAATAAAGTAAACAGATAGCCGCAAAAAGAACACAAGAAAAGGTGGAGAAATATCATACAAATACAACACTAGAACTTACACAGAAAAATTCAAAACTATGTACGTGCTCTCATGAATACAATGAACACTAATAAAATAAATGTGATAATGTTAGGATAGTCGGCACTTACGTTGCCTACCTTCCCATATTCTACCAAATATTAATAAAAACACAAAATGCGATAGAAACAGTAACAATTTCATTGTGGTAGCATTCTACAGCATGTTATAAAAAGACCTAGTCAAGGACGGAACACTGTTCACGCACTTCTCTTTCCACAAACAAAAAATAGGGTCATAATCTGCTTAATTTTCAAGTTGCGACGGCAGTGTGTATCTAAGGGATTCTCAACGAGTAACAAGCCACCTGTCGGCGCTTAGGGTTCGTAATTTGGTGTGTTGTATACATATGTTTAATAAATGCCTAATAAACGTTTGGTATTGCTCCTTTACGAATTTGTAGTTATATATTAGTCTAAAGTCAAAAATAAGTTTTATACTAACTATTTCGTAGTGGTAGAACGAGACACCTGTAGAAGTATGGCGTGAGACCACTGATGTCATTTGCACACAGTAGAAATGCGGCATCATGCTTATGTTAACAATATAACTTATGTAGATATTGAAGAGCATTGACCCTAGGACGCTTCCCTGTTCCCTTTTATTGAGATAGCAGTTATATGGACACGCTCGGCTGGATTTTGTCGCCAGCGTCATCACACCGTCACGATGCGGCAGCGCGCGCTCTCATCTCCCACGCGTACTTTGTTTCGCGCAAAGGAGGGGGGCGACGGTCACTCGCGCGCCTTCATCTCGTGGTGGGGAAGATCGTACGTCTTGGCTGGCCTTGGGCTTTCATGGGAACGATTCTGTTGTAGTTACCGGGCGCACAAAGGTCACTGCAATTGCTGCACAGTCTCCGTTTGCGAAAAGGGCGCGTTTTTCAGACACAGCGAAGTAACAACTGAGCCGCTTATTCGCATTCGTATGTACCTGCAGTGTGAGTACGTTTCGTGCGTCGTTTGAGCGTGAGAAACCTGGAGCACGTATCGATCTGCTTGGCATTCTGCGCGTGAACTTCCAATATCGCGTTCATTGCTTTAGTATACACGTTTGCAAAAAAGATGTGACTTTTTTTTGCAATAGGTGAATCGTTTTCATGTGGCCGAGCCCCGCCGCAGTGGTCTAGAGGCTAAGGTACTCGGCTGCTGACCCGCAGTTCGCGGGTTCCAATCCCGGCTGCGGCGGCTGCATTTCCGATGGAGGCGGAAATGTTGTAGGCCCATGTGGTCAGAAATGGGTGCACGTAAAGAACCCCAGGTGGTCGAAATTTACGGAGCCCTCCACTACGGCGTCTCTCATAATCATATGGTGGTTTTGGGACGTTAAACCCCGCATATCAATTAATCAATTCATGTTGCCGAAGGTTGTGGTGACCCAGACAAGTAGGCAGAAAGTTATGTGAGAAGAAATAGAACGTGGTAGTTCTGCATTTTGACATTCTCCGCAAGACAGTACTGACGTCGTCACGGAACACCAGCAGCACACCATTATTTAGTCAATGCTTCAAACCATGCATGCCATTTGAGCGGGAAAAGTCAAACATACCACCTTATGTTTGTCCAGTATTTCGATATGTAGTCCCTCAAGCATAGAGATTCATGACATTCTTTTTCCGTGCTTCTGGATCTGAAAAAGGCAGTTTTTGTTATTTTAACTTTTATTCGCAAGTCATTAGCAGTACATCACCGTAGCACTTCTGATAGTACGTACTGGGCTTTGGCAATATTTCACATTAATTTTTTTCCTGAACCGAAAATACTGATGTCATTTGCGTACAGTAGAAATGCGGCATTATTGCTTATGTTAAAAATGTCATTTATGTAGATAGTGAAGAGCATTTGCCTTAGGATGCTTCCCTGAAGCACGCAGCAAACATCGTTTAAAAGAAAAATAGCTTGTGATTTAAACAGTTTCCTCTCAGATAAGTATGAACAAAATAGTGAATTATTTAAACCACGTTTTCCATAAGTGTTCAACTTACATAGTAAAATAGAATGATTCAGGGTATCGAAGGCCTTGCAATATGAAATGAGAAACCGCAGCGTAAGCTTTTTGTCATCGATTATTTTAGTCCATAACACAGTCTGCGCCAGTAAACTAATGAAATTAGGTGAAATAAACAAATAAATTAATAAATAGCCGCTTTGGTACATTTGTTAAATATCAGACTCTTAGAATAGCTGCCGCAGCCTTATGGACACAGTGGGTGAAGAGCGAAATACGTTCACGCCTAATTATGTTTTGTGAACGTGATGGCGGCTAGGGTCACAACGACAACTATTTTGAAAGATTTCCTTTCGTCCACGCCACATTATTAGGTGACGCGGTCATTGAGAAAGCTCATTTAACGCAATCACGAGGTATGTAACTTGAAATCAAACGGCCACCTTATAAAAGGCTGGCAAAGCATACAAAGTCCTCAGTTATGCCGTGAAGCTATCCGAAGTCGTTGTCTATTTGTTTTATTTTTGAGAAATAATCCCGAAATTTAAGGACGCATACGGTACTTCTGGCTACCGTGTAACTATCACTAGAGTGGGTGCCAAAACGTGTGTGCTCTATTGTTCACATCCAGCGAGCAATGCCCATTAAGGAGTATAAAATTAAGTGCACGACCTTTAATGATTGCCCCTTCCTGTGAGGATTTGCTGCTCAGCATCTATCCCTGTTGACTTTCTTACACAGAACCCATTTGATCTCGCATCTATAGTCATTTTCAATGTGACTACTTATTTGTATTGCATGTATAGTATTTGCTTTTTTTCTTTGTTTTTATTTCCTTCTACCTTCATTTCCTTTGTGTTTCCTCTTCCCTAAAAAGCAGGCCGGAGCTGTGCCCGTTTAGGTGTCAGTTGTTAACCTGTTTCCTGCCTTTTAAGGAGCGAAGGTCCATAGGGCCTATAGGCTTGTCCGGCATCCATTGATGTACCGTTGTTCACACTCCTATAACAACACAACTTGAAACAGCTGTGAAAAAGCCACCGGCGCTGTTAACCAATGGCTAAAAAAACGGGACAATATAAAACGCCTAGAATTACAAACACTTCACACTAGTCAGCGAAATCAACGTACACGTTATGGACTTTCAAACCTATAGCTCTGTCGTCGACGCTCACTGCTCACTGTCATGGCGGTTAGAAAACTGTTACTGTAGGCGGCACATGACTATACGAATAAGAAAGTTTACAATGCACGCACAACAATTATAACTGGGAAGGAACGATATAAAAGACCTACAAGCAGATGCCCTTTATACTAGTCAGTTACTTCAGTGTAGTCATTATGGACCTCATCACCGAGCTTTGTCGATCTTTATGTCAGTTTATGTCATGTCACTCAAATGAAATTATATCGGGCAACGCTTTGTATAGTATATGTGAGAGAAAAAAAATGTTCAACAATACACTATATTGTTCACATAGTAATTGTGGCAGAACGATTCAGAACACCTGTAAACACCAACCTTTATACTAGTCAACGGCTTCAACGTACACAATTTAGACCTGAAAACCTGCTTCACCCACCTGCCACCATTTACTTTGTGGAGATGCGTCCATTTTAGCTCTTTGTCGTTGTGTTTTATGTGTATTTATGTAATAATAATAATAATAATAATAATAATAATAATAATAATAATAATAATAATAATAATAATAATAATAATAATAATAATAATAATAATAATAATAATAATAATAATAATAATGCCTAGCTCTCTCTCTCTCTCTCTCTCTCTGATAATCCCGTGTTTTAGCAAATAAGTTTGCTCGTGTGTCTGTGCTCATCTTAGATCTAATAGACAATCAAGCCAAAAGTAGCAGATGGTTTGTTGGCTCTCATCAATTTTTTGTCTAACAAAGAAAAACAAGCCCTTAATTTCGACAGTGTTCGCGTATTCACCTTGGAAGCAATATACTTGCCGTGTAAATCAACGCACTCTCCGGGGAGAGTGATGTGTGAGAGAGAATGAAATATGCGCTACAATGGCGCACGCGTACATGTGGCGACACGATAACGTGGCTCTCGGCAAAGGTTTACCTGTTCCCTCGAGAACCTTGGCCAGTCCGTGAAAAGAGGGATAAGCGCGTTCGCCAGGAAGCCTGTGGCTTCGTCGCTGTAAGCTCAGTACTGAAGGCCATAGTTGCTGTAATCCTATTTTGTGTGGTACTTACGATGCAAGTCTTATCGTCTCTCCAGTGGCGCTTGCGTCCTGAATTTCGCCAGCCTAGCAAAATGGGGAAAGAAAAAAAGGATACAGCGTGAAGTCTTCTATAGCACAGTAGTCTCCCACTTTGTGCGTTGCGCATCATCTATAGAACACAAAAAATGTTATTTCATCTTCCCTATGACTTGCTGAATGGGAAATAAAACTTTTATTGCTGATTGCTATGGCCGTGCAACACGCTTGTGCTTGCTATCGACAGGAGCCCATAAACAGCCATAAAAATTCAAGGTTTTGCATGACCAAGGACATGGGAAAAACTGAATACATTATATATCGTGTGATCAAGTATATTTGCCTTGTTTCATATACCATGTTTTATCAGCCCCCGAGCTATCTAATATTCCGTGGGGAACACATGCTTGTTATATATCTCATATGGCGTATCCCCACTATAATTCCAAACGTGTTGTTGGTCCAATAGCTTTAATTATCCAGGGGCTTTAATGGCAGGCTATAGATACTTTCACTAAAGGGCTACTATTGAAATTATTTCACGGTTTATATTTATTTGATGCTTTTAGATATATTTTCGATAACTATAGGGCGTCATAAAATAACCATATCTTGCGAAACATTTTTATATCGCTTCTTTAGCCTTTTACAACTTAGTTTATTTTCTACTTCATGATAATACCGACCAAGAAAATTCACTTCATGAAATATATATAAAAATGAGTGAAAAGGGGCTAATCTATAGCGTCATTAGTAATATTACATTATAAAAAATAATTGAAATACTCTACTTGGCCGGTTTCCTGCATAAGATACGAGTCATGGTCAGAGGGCGACTGCGAATTCAGTTATTCCTCTTACAACTTAAGTTACACCGGCGAGGTTCACAATGTTTTCTCTTCTTGAGTATTCACCAAAGGTTGCCATTGCAAATCCAAGATTTTCGCTTTTGCCTCTCACACGGAATAATAATTGGACATCCAAGTTTTAATTAGAAGTATACCCATCACAAAATTACGATGCCGTTCTACCGCTGAGTTTTTATTTAAACAGGTCTGGTCTAGTGCCACCTCCTTTATGCCCGAGCTGTAACGAACCTGAAAACATCGACCAATGTCGACTTTGCTGCCGTTGTGTCAAAAATTAAATAACAAAGTTGTTCTAAAGTTTATTTAAAAACAATAACTTTCACTAATTACTATAAGTAATCTTTGCTTCCGAGCTACCTGATTGGAACATAGCAACAGGAACGTCTACGGGCGCTCTGCAGAATCTTGGTTGGCACAAGGACTTTGCCTGCTTAAATCATGGATCGACAATAATCATGCGGTATTTTGTAATATAAAAGTCAGTAATCATATGTTCATTATTTTCAATTCTTAAAAATTGTTTATGTTTCCGTGTAACTAATGTTGTGATATTCTATTCACAAAAGACTCTGACTTTTTTCCTCGCGTTTGTCTTCTTAATGTGTTTATTTGCAGTAACAGCTTTAAACAGAAGAGCCGCCATTGCCTCCTAATGAAAGGTTAATGACGGGTACTCCCCCCTTTCAGATAATAAAATAAAAAGCTGCGTCACATGCGAGCATCTTCCTGTTGTTATCAAGCAAAGACGTTGGCTGCTCTGTTAATGCCGTGTTGCGAGTGTATACAGCTCTCTGCGAAGGTCTTCTATGTTACAGCCTTCTTGCGTGACATGAAATTTCCCGAACCAACATACAAGCACTGAATGGAGCTCAAGCAAAGGCCCCGAGGGTGCGTCTTAGTTTAGCATAGAAGACATCAAGCATCGGAACTCTTGCTGAAAGTAGCCGTCATTCAGCTCCTGTTTTTTGCAGCAGGAGTTTCTTCGAGTCCCCTTGCGTTATGCCACCAGAGTGCCAGATCATCCGCTTGATTCAGACAGTGGTCCTGCATGGAGCCTCCTCCCGCTACACTGTCAAAGCGCATAAATGCATACAGAACCATCGTGCAAAGCTCCTTCGTGCGCTCGAGTCACCTTCGTATCTGAGTTCAAGTGCAAGAGACGCACACCCGAACCAGCACTCACGTATTTCACCCTAGGGCATTTAGAAAACAGCTACAGAGCTCTCTATCTATACACTGATGGCTATTTTTCGTCTACATTATCCGCCATTGGCGTTTGGATTCTATCTGCCAATGTCATCATCTCTGCTACTCTCAGTCACTGCACCTCATCTACAGCCACGGAACTGGCTGCACCATGGCTGCTTTTAACTACATTGTGGACCAGACAGCTGAGTTCTGGATCATGTTTACTGGCTCAAGAGCAGCACTGCAGTCGCTGAAGTCTCCATACGCGTAAGAACAACTCGTCACGGACATCAAACACCTATGCAAGAAAGCCTGTGACCTCCAATACCGCATTGTTCTGCCGTGGATACCTACTCACTGCGGAATACAAGGCAATGTTCGGGCTGATGACGCTGCCAAAGCTGGACACGACGCTTCAGCAGAAATCATCGAGATACCTTTCTCGAATCAGGACGCTGCAACACTATATGACAGAACATGGTTGGGGCCTCCAGCGATCCCTCTGGAGACACCCCATCTACCAGTATGGGCCTTTGTACAAGATTGATTCATCGTGTCACTGTAGTATGCCGTGAGACCTTAACAAACCAGACAAAACATGTTCACACCGCACGCGATAAATGTCGCATATAACAATTACTTCAGGAAAAAAAAAAGAGAGTGCATGATATACGCGTCAGAGAGAGTCTCTGAAGATGGCCTTAAAGCTGCACTAGGACACAAGCTTGGAGTTGACGGATATTCTAGGCCCCTGGAAGAACAGCCCCAGTGCGTTACACGCCACAAAATCACTACTGACATTCTTGCGGGTCACAAGCCTAAACAAAACGTCGTTAATATTGTAGTACCTGTGTGTGACTGTATGTGTTGTGTGTTTATCACTGCATATACAGTCACACACATAAAATTACCCATTCTTCCCGAATCACCGTTACTGCTCTGCAAAAACCATATCTCACTTCACGTAGACTACACAATCATCTTAGCTATTCCCGTGTATACGGCTCAACAAACGCGTTCAATCAGTCAGCACTTCCACGCGCTATCCGTCTGTGGAACAGTTTGCCTGACGACATTGCATCCCAGACAAACTTTGACACATTCCGTCATATCTTATCAAGCCACTTCACATGCCCCAGCAAGTAGATGCCGTATCATAATTCATTGGTCCGTATTGGTTCATTTTTGTGATTGTCACATTCATGTGCGCGAGAATTCTGCCTTGTGGCCGCTGCATGCGCAGGAAATAGTGTTTCGCCCACGGTTACTATGCGTGTATCTTTTGTACATGTTGAACTTTTGTACATGTTGGTGCTTTTTGTTTGACTTATTATTTTCCATTTGTTTCTTTTGTATTTGTTTTAGTTTGAGATGTATATAAGTATTGCGCCCCTTACTCAATTGTTTCTTTTGTACTTTTTTTTAATTTTGAGGTGTCTATATGTATTCCCCCCTTGCTGAATTGTCTGTCTTGTATATTTTTTTCCAGTTTATTTGTATATATATATAGCCCCCCTTACTCAATGCCCCCCATGGGGCCTGTAAGGTACTTTGAAATAAATAAATAAATAAATATACACCGTTGTCATCACCTGGTGCCTGGAGTAGCATGTCAGGTGAAAAGCCAGGCAAACTTCTCCAGCTCTCCCTTAAAATAGTTATCTCTCTCTCTTTACAATAACAGTGGACTTTGTGACCAATGTTTCATTCTGAATCAAATCCAGTTTCTATAAAAAACAAATCAAGAAGCAAACAAAGTAATGACACCAGCTGAGATTGTCAACTTTATTGAGGTTCTCACGGTCAATCCCTATGTCGAAGTAGACAGTAATGGTGTCATTACACTTCTACTTACGCTTCCTTCTCTTGTACTTTTACGTAGGCAATAACCCTTATTGCAAATCAGTCGCGTGACCAACAGGGTTAGTTGGTTTATCTTTACGGTAAAAGCAGCGCAAAAAAACGACACTACTTTTGTGGTCTGTTTGCGCTGCTTGAACCATACAAATCAATCATCCGCATGCATTTATGCATATCTAACAAGTAGGTAAGAAGTGGCCTTAGAACAATTTGGCGTGGGCTCTTTAGTGGCACAATTTATATGGAAATGGTCTCCCAACCATCACACAGTCAGACTTAAAGGTTTCACGGCATTACTCACGTCTCAAACCTAGTACATATTGAAACGGTATGAGCCGGGCCATGATTTGGGACAAAAGTAGAGGAAGTTAGTTGGTTTGGCCTATGTTCACCATCATCAGTTTTACTATGTTTATTTACAGGAGAGATCAGGCGATGATCGACAATGATGGTGAACATAGGCCGAACCAACTAACTTCCTCTTCCTCTACTTTTGTCCCAAACCATGGCCCGGCTCATACTGTATCATTCCCTGGTTCACAGACCAAGCCCGCTGGGCGACGCGAATCATTGGCGTAGTGTGGGATGGAACTGCTTGAGACGAGCTACATGCGCCAACTGTGTTTGGCTTGACCGACGACCAGCTGACGTCAAGCGTGCCAGCACGCAAGTCAAGTCACTCAGGTGATTTACGATAGCTAATGGACTGACATAGTGCGCTGAAAATTTCTGGAATAAGCCACGTTTCCATTGAGGGGTCCACAACCACACGAGGTCTCCTTTTTCGAACGAAACAGTGTCGTGGCGTTGATGATACCTCTGCTTGAAGAAATCTTCCGATGACAGTGTGCGAATATGGGCAATTTGGCGGGCTTCTTCTGCTTGGCACAGTGTTAGAGCAACTGAATCGTCCGTATGGAGCTCGCATGAAAATATTGTATCCAGGCAGCTGCGTGACTGTCGAGCGTAGAGTAGGTGGAACGGAGTGAAGTCCGTGGCTTCATGCTTCGCTGTATTACAAGCATAGGGGATAAAGGCAAAATCTCATCCCAGTTCCTGTGATTCGAGGATACATACCTAGCCAGCATATTAGTAAGCGTGCGGTTCGTGTGCTCCACTAGGCCATTCGTC